TTGATATATTAAGTACAGAGGACAAAGGCAGGGTCAAGAGGAAATAAACACATTTGTTTTAACCCTTCTTTCTAGTCAAGTGTAATCCCAGGATTGGGGGAATAGAAGCAGAAAAATCAGGATCTCAAGGTTATCTTTAGTTACACAGTGTGTTCTATGCCAGACTAATTACAAAACTTTATCTCAAAAAAAAAAACAAAACAAAACAGGACAGACAAACAAACAATAACAAAAAATAGTACAACTAACTTTTAAGGAAAGTTAAAGTATTCACCAGGGGCATAAAATAATCCTCACTGTAGGAATAAATTTACAGCATCACTTTCTCCAAGTAACTCTGTAGCTATTTCCATTTAGATAAAACAATCTGAGTATCTACTACATAGAGCCTGTTTGTGTTTTCTAGAACTATGTAAGATTAAAAATCTCTGGGGCTGGAGAAATGGCTCTGGTTCCTCAGAGAACCGGGTTCAATTCCTGGCACTCACATGGCCGCTCACAACTGGCCTATAACTCAAATTTCAGGGGAATTGATGCCCTCTTCTGGCCTCCATGGTACTAGACATGCACATGATACACAGGCATACATGCAGGCAAACACTCATACACATATTTTTTTTAAAAGACTTTAAAGGAGGGGGGAATAAGTGGCTGATAAACTGATTTTGTCTTAGAAAAATTATCTATCTCTAATTAAAGTGAAGGGTGTTTCTGGAAAGAGCTCTATTCATACACTGTAAAGATTTGTCACTCACATTGGTTTAATAAAACACTGACTGGCCAGTAGCCAGGCGATCCGATTAAGAGAATTCTGGGAAGAGGAAAGGCAGAGACAAAGTCACCAGCCAGATGCACAGAAAGAAAGATGGGAATGCCTCACGGACAAAAGATATCAAGTCATGTTGCTAAACATAGATAAGAATTATGGGTTAATTTAAGTTGTAAGATCTAGTTAATAACAAATCTGAGCTAATAGGCCGAACAGTTTATAATTAATATAAAGCCTCTGTTTCTTTGGGACTGAATGGCTGCAGGACCAGGGGGGACAGAAACTCCCATCTCTACCTCTATTCTGAATGAACAGCTTAAGACAAATTTCTGCAGTTCTGTGTATACATGTACACTAATTTTTCTATACCACATCAGTGGGATGAATCACTATTATTTGGCTTTCACAGGAAATAAAAGACAAAGAAAAACTATGAGAAATAGGCAAAGGCAGGCATTCAGTTTTTGATTCAAGCTTTAAGTTTGAGTTATCATATAGAACCTTTAGTTGGGAGTTAGAAGACAAGTGTGTTAGTTGATTCTGTCATTCATTTATCTATGTGATTTTTTTTTTACCAAACTGTTTTACCTTTGGTAATCCTTTTGTTCATCTTTAAAATGAGGATGAAAATACTTTTTTAAAAAAAGGTTTATTTACTTTATGTGTATATGTGTGTGACAGAAGGTTGTGATCTATCTGTTGTGTATGCTAAGAACAAAACTCTAGTCCTCTCCAAGAGCAGCAAGCACTCTTAACCTCTGAGATATCTCTTCAGCTCATTTTTGAGACAGGGTCTTACTATATGGTCCAGGCTAGTCTTGAATTCCAGACAGTTCTCCTTAGGCCTCAGTCTCCCAGTACTATAAGATTATAGGTATACCATGCCCAGTTGAAAATAGTTTTTATATGTTTAGCACTTCTCAAATTGTAAAACCCTATACAAATTTGAAGTCACACACATACACACACACACACACACACACATATGTGCGTGTATACATTTATGTATGTGTTTAGACAGAAGTTTGTGTTCCACCTGGTCCCGTAGTAATTCAGTCCCAAAGAAACACACAGAGGCTTATATTAATTATAAACTGTTTGGTCTATTGGCTCAGGCTTATTAGTAACTAGCTCTTACAACTTAAATTAACCCATAATTCTTGTCTATGTTTAGCCACGTGGCTTGATACCTTACTCAGTGAGGTATTAATGGTGTAGGAGGTTCTTCTGTTAATGTGTTGCTTTCATTGGTTAATGAATAAAGAAACAGCTTTGGGTCTGATAGGGCAGAACTTAGGTAGGTGGAGAAAACAGAATTGAATGCTGGGAAGAAGGGCAGAGTGAGAGACGTCATGAATCTTCTGCCTGAGATGGACACTGGTTAGAATCTTACCGGTAAGCCACACTCACATGGCGATACACAGATTAATAGAAATGGATTAAATTAAGATGTAAGAATTAGCCAATAAAAAACTAGAGCTAATGGGTCAAGCAGTGTTTTAATGAATACAATTTCTGTGTGGTTATTTCAGGTGTAAGCTAGCTGGGTGGCCGGAACAAACAAGGGACCCTCTCCTTGTAACAGTTGGGACCCAATCCTTGTAACACATTCTCATCTTGTGTCCTCTGTGTCTGCCCTTGACTCTCTCTGCTTTCCTCTTCCCAGAATTCTCTTAGTCTGGTTGCCCCACCTATACTTCCTGCCTGGCTACTGGCCAATCAGTGTTTTATTAAACCAATATGAGTGACAATTCTTTACAATGTACAAGAGCATTATCCCACAGCATATGTGTGTATGTATATAAACTACACTCTCAAGCTTTCCAACATTAGTCAAGCTTAACAAATATTTGTTGTTCTAAATAAAAAAACTAGTCAACAAGCAATTCAAGACTCAGTAGCATCAAAGATAAGCAAAATACAGGTTGATTTCCAAGAATTCACTGCTGAGAGAGGACACTAACATTACAGATAAACAATTACCAAAAAAAAAATTCAAATCACATAATTTTATAATAGGAACTTAAATCAAATGCTACTGGAGCCTAGCAAAGACATGAAGTAACCTCACCTGAGGGAAAAGGTGCTAGAAAGGAGCAGCAACTGACCTTGGAGAAAGAAGTTGATTACTGAGAACTTGTCCAAGCACAATATATTATGGAGACTTATAATAGTTCCATCTTACAACTGGATCTGCCTCAATAATTAAAACCAGTGTTAAAGGGCTGGAGAGATGGCTCAGTGGTTAAGAGCGCTGCCTGCTCTTCCAAAGGTCCTGAGTTCAATACCCAACAACCACATGGTGGTTCACAACCATCTGTAATGGAGTCTGGTGCCCTCTTCTGGTTTACAGGCATACACACAGAATATTGTATACATAATAAATAAATAAATATTTTTTTAAAAAAAACAGGGTTAAAGGTGTATACCTGTCTTACAACGAGTCTAAAATAAAGATATTCTAAAAGATCCTTTCAGCTCTAAAAGAATATAATTTCACCAGTCAAATTGTGGTTAAGTATACACACTGAGAGGATTTAGGAGAGTAATAAGCCAGAACTATTTAAAAGAGGTGTTCTCAGACTAGAGAGATGGCTCAATGATTAAGAGTACTGGCTATTCTCCCAGAAGACCCAGCACCACAAAGTGGCTCACAATGATCTGTGAGTCTAGTCAAGGGGATCTGACATCCTCTTCTGGCCTCTCCAGGCACTGCACACATCCGATGCACAGACATATGTGCAGACAAAACACCCACATATAAAGTAAAATTTTAAAATGAATAAATAAAAGCGGTGTGTTTTCTATTAGTCATTTTTTTCTTGGTGTTAAAGTCCTGAGGATACCACTTATCTCTGCAAGAACAATCTCCAGTCCTAGCCCAATGGAACCTGGAAGGAAGCACACAATGCAGGACGCTTTGGAATATTTGTGTGTATTGTAAAGATGCCTCTCTGCCTAAGGCGGCTTCTGATTGGTTTAATAAAGAGCTAAACAGTCAATAGTTGGGCAGGAGAGAATAGGTGAGACTTCTGGGCACAGAGAGAGAAACTGGAAGGAAAAACCAAGGCAGAGGCTTGCGAATTCACCAGAGCGACACGGAGAGGAAACAGGAGAATGCAGAAAGGAATGCATATAACAGAATGTAGATTAATATAAACATTAATTTAAGTTATAAGAACTAGGTGGGAAAAAGCCTAAACTAAGGCCAAGCTTTCATAATTAATATTAAGTCTCTAAGCTGTTATTTGTGGCTGGAGGGTCAAGAAAGTCTGACTACAGCAGGAAAGGCAAGAAGTGAGACATTTAGTTCAGCAAAGATGCTGTTTAGACCAGTAAGCAAACAGACAGTATATAGGAAGTAACAATGTTTATACAGTTCTATTTACAAGTAAATTTGGAATTAAACCAAAGCCAGATATTAAAATTTATTCTTCCATAGAATTAAGTTGCTGCCTTGGTAAACCACTTTTAAAATCTATTTATGGACTAAGAAATAGCTCAGCAGTTAAGAGCACTGGCAGCTCTTGCTGAGGATCTGGGTTGAGTTGCTAGCACCAACGTAGCAGCTCACACTAACTTACATCTATAACTCTAGTTCCGGGGACCTGACACCCTCTTCTGTCACTGAGCATTGCACACACGTTGTACATATGCATACACATAAGCAAAACATCAGTATGCATAAAATAAAAATGAATAAAATTTAAAGCACACATACACACCTATTTGCAAACTACAAATGATAGAACAACTCTAATCCTGGACTTTGGACGCTGAGACAGGAAAATTTTGAGTTTAAGACAAATCTAGGTTATACAGTAAAACCCTGTCTTAGAAAACTCAAAGCACAAATAAATAGAATAAAAGCTGAGGAAAGAGCATGATGGTAGAGTACTTGTCTACTCTGGGAGGGATGGTAGAGTACTTGTCTACTCTGGGAGGGCCCTGGGTCTAATTTCCAGCACTGAAAGAGAATAAACTGAAAGAATAATTGAACCTGTTTGCCCAAAAAGGTCAGTCTAAGAATTATTAAGATTAAAAACCTTAAATACCGTTGAATTAGTTCAAAGAATGACTCCACAAATAGACACTATGAAGTCATCTAGCTCACTAAATGATTATTAAACTTCTTAACAGTGCCAGCTGTTATAAAATTGGCCCAGTACTCGAGGGGCTCCCTGATCTAACAGCAGCCTGGAAGCAGGACCGAGGGAAGAGCCACTCTTACCCATCGATGATGTTTTCCGGTGGGTGCTTCTCATCACTTGAGGTAGCCAGAATCACTTCAGCCCCTTCAGTGCTCGAACAGAGATCAACCTTTCTCATCTCAAAGTGTTTAACCTGAAAATTTGATAAAAATACAGGAATAAAAAAGCAAACTCTTGACTCTCAACAAAAGAGAAAGCAAGGCTGTTGCCTGGCATACAGTTTAACAACCAAGCTATTCAAAATGTGGGAGGGACTGGCACATGTTTGCTCTGCAAACTCTTGCCTTCTCCCTGGGATGATCTATAAAATATGACCCCCACTTATACTCCACAAAATGTCTTTGACTACTTTTAACTGACATCATTATTCTGCTTCTAAAATTAAAACCCTCAGTTATTATATAGAGATAGTTAACAACTTATGGTGACATAAATAATGGGTGATTTTTACTGCAGTTATCTAGCTGTATTTATAACATCTTTAAGATTTGGAGTATAAATACAGGGATTTTGTGAGAATCTACACCCTTACCAATCCAAGTATCAAACAATACTTACTTTGGGGGCTTTTTGTTTTTAAAACTGGGTCACTCTGTAGTCCAGGCTGGCCTAGAATTTACAGTAATCTTCCTGCCTCAGCCTCCCAAGTGCTAGGATTACAGGCATTGGCCCCTACACCTGGCTGTATTTTTAACTTTTTCTTTCAGGTGAGACAAGGTCTCTCGTCCTCAGATTCTCTTTCATCTACTCCCTGTGAGTTGGGGCTTCAGACCTGTCCACCACACCAGGCTCATTTACAATTTGACACACTAGCTTTGGTTGCTTTTTTGAGATGACAGTTTTGCTTTGTTAACCATGCTGTCCTCAAGTACCCCCGAGCTCATGTGACCCCCTCCTTTTGTGTCTCCAATAGCTAAAATCCCAGGGAGCAGTAACAACAGCAGTTACCATTTTCTGAATAGGAACACGAAATAAGGAAAGCAATGAGCTTAGTTTAAACTCCGAACTAGCAACCTGCTCAGACTAAAACCCATCTCTGCTGAAGAAATCTTGTTGAGCTCCACATACTCAACTGGAGGATACTGGAGGATAAAAAAGGAAAGATTCTCTCAGACCTTATCCTCTGCTTCACCCACCTGTTCTGATGGTGAACGACGGCTGTGTGCAGTGAGAGTGCCAAGAGACAGCCCCAGGAACGCCATGGCCTCCTCCGCCGTCTCTCATTGGCTCCGCCGTCTCTCATTGGCTAGTCAGTTCCCTAGTGCTGAACTGACTAGCACACCACCACATGGGTGGTTTGAAAGCGCTCTAAGGACCAGTGCTCAGTTCCCAGCACTCACACTGGAGAGCTCACAACGTCCTGTAAGTCAGTTCTAAGGAACCTGATCCCTTCTGACTTTTATGTGTGAGTGCCTGCACACACACAATGCATAATGAAAAAAATCTTAAATAATTTTCTAGATACAAATTCTGTTTCATGAGTCTTTATAAATGTCTTCTTCCAATCCATGCTTGATTTTTCTTTTTAAATTTGTCTTTGAAAGAAGTTCTCACTATTAGCTCAAACCCTAGTCCTCCTGCCTCAACCTTCTGACTACTAGGATTACAGATGTGCTTTACCATGGTTGGTTTATGGCTTGGGCTTTGATTTTGATACAAGAGTTGCCTACCCAACTGTAACATGCACAAAAAAAAGGAACCAAATCTTAAGCATATATTCAACAAAGCTTTGCAAAGCAAACACATCAGGAAGTATTAAGAGTTTATGAGAAGTCTTCCTCACCCCTTCCTGATCCTACCTCTCCTTCCTCCCTACAAGGAACAGTGGTGCTATTTCTAACATGGTGAATTAATTCTGTTTAAATTTCATGTACGTGGAATCTTAGTTCAGGCTTGTTGGTGCCTGGCTTCTTTTTCTCTTTTTATGTTTGTGAAGTTTATCAATGTCATATGCGGCACTGTTGAGTACAGTAGGTACAGCTGCAGCACAGCCCCTGAGATGCAGGTCACCTGAGATGAGATCAAAGAAACAAGCCCTTGTGAAGTTTCACCGGAAACTGGTGCTAGCTGAAAAGCAAAGGAAGGTTTCTTTGGTTTGGGGTACAGAAGAGACAAACCCAATGAAGGAGAAGTTACACTTACTACTTAGTTATTTGAAACCAGAAGTAAACTAAACATTTAAAATTGCAACGTGGTCTCCCGCTCCCAAAGGAAAAGTGTGAAAGATGTGAACTCTCCCAGGGGAGACTACCTATTTACTCCACCTTCTGCTGAGATACTGCATTAAGTAAGATTAGAAGCATCTCAATAGATGAATGTAGCACAAAATTCTAATTGTCCTTAATAATAAAAACTCAGAGTCAGATACAAGGGGGTGAAAGTTAAAAGCTCAGAGAAGCAAAGCAGCCAGTCACTAGAAAGTTCTTACTTCTACCAATGCTCAGAATAAAAGGGTGAGATCCTATCACCATGAATCTTCAGACTGAATGCTATCTCTATGAAACCTCAGACTGCATCTTTGAGCTCCTGTCTCCTTCCGCCTTATATTCCTCTCTCTGCCCAGCCATATCACTCCTGTCTCCACCTCCCTAGTGCTGGGACTAAAGGCAGAGTAATCTAAAGTGCTGGAATCACCTTTGTGTGAGTGCTGTTTTTCTTTGACACTGGAGAAATTTAGTGTAGCCTAGGGTGACCTTGAACTCAGAGATCTGTCTACCTCTGCCTCCTGAGTGCTGGGATTAAAGGTGTGTGCCACTACTGCCTGGCCTCTGTGGCTAACTAGTGGCTTAGCTCTGCACTCTGATCTTCAGGCCAGCTTTACAAAATATCATTATAATGACTCAAGTGCTGGAGTTACCCATGTGCTAATTTATATTAGAATATACAAAACTGACCATATATAAATCTGTTAATTTAGACAAAAACATGAACAAAACGAATGAACAGAAAGTGAGTTTTACAAGACAAATGAAAACTCAAAAGAAACAACACAGAAATTCGGGAATTGAAAAATACAGTTATCTAAAGTTTAAAAAAATGCTAGCTAGGCTTAATATCAGATAGAATTTAGCATTAAGCAAAGATCAGTGAGACTGGCAAGATGGCTCAGTCAGTAAAGGCGTTTCCAGCCACACCTGATGTGGCTTTAATCCCAGAACACACAGTGGAAGGAGGAATCAGCTCTGCAAGTTGTCCTGACTTCTACTTGTGAACTATGGCATACACATGCACACCAACACACAATAAATAAATAAACAGAGAAGAGTAAAGATCAGTGAACATAATACGGGCTGAAGGTGCAATGTAATGGCAAAGTACTTGCCTGACATAAAAAAGAGAGATACTCAGCAGTTAAAGCACTTGCTGCTCTTCCAGAGGATCCAAGTTTAGCTTCCAGCACCCACATGGCTCAGAGCTATCTCTACCTCCATCTCAGGGGATCTGACACTCTTTTCGGGTCTCCACAAGCACTCACACACATATGGCACACACACAGAAACACACAGACATAAACAAAAATAAATCTTAAAAAAAAAACACAAGTGAAGGGAGCTGGAGAGATGGATCAGTGGTTACCAGCACTTGTTGCTCTTGTAAAGGATCCAGGTTCAGTTCCTAGCACTCGTGGGGTAGCTAACTACCATCTGAACTCTAGTTCCAAACGGTCTGATGCCTTCTTCTGGCCTCTGAGGGCACTAAATGCAAGCAAAACACCGATTCACATAAAATAATAAAAAATTAACTTAATAAAATCAAACTAATCTGAAATATGCACAATTGGAATTGGTATCTTAGGAGAAAAAAGAATAATGTACGAAAAATTATGAAGAAAATACGGCTAAAATTTTCATCAAATCTAAAATATAAACTCACAACTCCAAGAAATTCTGAACTTTAAATTGAACAAAACACACAGAAGATTCTACTTAGTCACATTAGTCAGTAGCTGAAAAAACAAAAGCAGTCAGAGCAAAAACCACAACACCACACTTCAGGAAACAGTGACACCTCCAGAGGTGTACCTTACTGATGGAGGCACTGTTAGTCCTGTCAAGACTAACCATCACAGTAATGCTTCTAGACTAGATCTAGATCTGTGAAAAAGAAGGAAACACACACGAGATGATAAATACGTTGTTAAGAGAATAGCCTAAAATTTTCTCAAAATGACTACTGAGCTGGGCTGCAAGCATGACTTAGTAATAGAGTACTTGCTTTATATACAAGAGGCCCTGGACGATATCCCCAGCATCAAAACAAGAACAACAGAAAACACCCAAGTCTACTGAATGATCTAAAGGTAATAGCAATTGAAATCAGGGATGATGCAGCAGCAGCAAATATGAGCATGGTGTGGTGGCACATGCCTACAATTCAAATACTCAGGAGGTGGAGGTAGGAGGCTCAGAAGCTCAAGTTTATCCTCAAGCTGAACACCAATCTGGGCTATACAAGACATTTCCCCATAATAAAAAATAAAACAAAGACAATAAATAATGCAAAGCAAGAAGAAGGTAACAAAACTGTACTTACAGATCATGTTAGTAAAGTTCTTAACACTGAACATGAGTAATATAATATTAATTCAAAACAGACTAGGGGGCTGAGAATGCAGCTCAGTGGTAGAGTACTGGCCTCACATGCACAGTCTTGGGTTAGATCTCAGCACTGAAAAACCAGAGACAGACAGACACATTAGGATATCAAGGATGCATGTCATAATCCTAGGATTGTATGGTAACTAATAACGATAAAACCAACAAATAAAGAAAGAAGGCTTCTCTGGTTTAGATGCCAGAAGTTTGGTCTCTAGCCTCTACTATAAATATACTGTATGGTGGTGGGACCTTTAAGAGATGAAATCTACTGGGAGGTGAACAGGTCACAATAGGTCTCCTAGAGGGATTATTAATGCTAGCCTCAGAGAGTAGGTTGGGTTTTATAGAAGTGGATTCATTTCTGTAAGCAGGCCTGGTCCCTACCTGCTCTCCTCTTCCTTCTCTTGCCTTGTGATCTCTCTTTCCCCCCTACAAGCTATCACCTATGAGGTCATTACCCAAGCCAATCAGATGTTAGCATGTTCTCTGCCCTCCAGAATGGTGTGTTAAATAAACTTATTTTTTTTTACAAATAAAATTTCTTTACCCAGCTTCAAGTAATTTATTATAGAAATACAAAACAGGCTAACAAAAAAACTAACAGAGAAGATAAAAATGCAATACCAGAAAAATACATGACTATTCTATAAGAGGGCCAGAACACAGAGTTAAACAAAACACATTATTTCCCCACTTACCATAAGTATATTAAACATTAGATTAGGCTGAAATTAAAAATCAATCAAATAATATTTTCAAGAGACAGCTCTAATTTAATAAAGACACAGACTGAAAGCAAATGATAGGATATGGTATGCTTTGTTTTTATTCTTTCTTTCCTCTTAGACAGTCTTTTTAAGCAGCCTAAGATGGCTTTGAACTTGCTATATAATACACACTGATCTTGCATATTTGATCTTCCTGATTTGTCTATCCTCTTATGTGCTATGATTATAGGCCTGTGTGACTATGCTTGACAGGTATGTATTTTAATATTTAGCAAGGTTAAATCTATTTAATATTTAAAATTTGTACTATACTTTGAACCTTAATAGAAACAATTCCACTAAATGCACAGATTAAATTGGAGAGAATTGGCATGGTTCTACAAGTAAGTATCATGGAGCTAGCATATATATGCATTTACTTAGGACTTTTTAAGTCCTTAAAAAAATAGTTTTATCAACATCTCTCTACTTCATCTTAGATTTAACTGTTATTCACTATAGTTTCTACTGCTACTGTAAAGGGGATCTTTATAAAAACAACACTTGACCGGCGGTGGTGGCACACGCCTTTAATCCCAGCACTTGGGAGGCAGAGGCAGGTGGATCTCTGTGAGTTTGAGGTCAGCCTCGTCTATAGAGTTTCAGGACAGCCAGGGCTATTACACAGAGAAACTCTGTCTCAAAAATAAATAAATACTCAAAATTTCTTCTTATTAGCCAAACAATGGGTATTTACCACATTTTAGCACTAAATGCCACATTCACTGATGTTTTATTAGATCTTATTAATGTAAGAATTTTTGTACTAGTTTGTTAAGTTTTTCTTTTAAATATGAATAAGCATTGCACTCTTGTCAAATACATATAATAAAATGTTTTTTTAAAAACCTATTTATGCATTTTTTTAGGTATGAGTGCTCTGTTTGCATGTATGCCTGCATGTCAAAAGAGAACATCAGATTCCCATTACAGATAGTTGTGAGCCACCATGGGGTTGCTGGGAACTGAACTGAACTCAGGACCTCTGGACAAACAGCCAGACCTTCAAGTGGTTTTCTTTTCTTTTCTTTTCTCTTCTTTTCTTTATTTCTTTTATTTGGTGGGGGACGTTCCAAGACAGGGTTTCTCTGTATCTCTGGTTGTCCTGGAACTCACTCTGTAGACTAGGCTGGCCTCAAACTCACAGAGATCCGCTTGACTCTGCCTCCCAAGTGCTCGGATTACAGGCGTGTGGTACAATGCCTGGCCCATATGGCTTTTCTTAAGGGATTAATGTGATAAATTAAGTAAAATGTTTCTAATGCTAAGTATTCTCAGGTCCCGACCCCCAACCAAAGTCTACATGCCCAAGACGTATTATGTTTATCCAAAGATTTGCTACTTTCATATTTTAAATTTTTTGCCATTTAATCAGTTTTATAGCCCTAGGATTAAGATGATATTTCAAAGGAAATTAGGAGCTGAAAAGGTCGTTCTCTAGCTACTGGAACAATTTTATACAAAGTAGGGATTATTAGAGGATGGAGAAGCAGTTTAGTGGGAAAATACTTGCCTAACATGTTGTCTAGGTTTGGTAACACACACACACACACACACACACACACACACACACACACACACCCCAGGGGAGGGCAGTACTTTATCCATACCTGGGTAAGTGTTTGTAGAGCCTGTTTTTGTTGTTGCCGTTTGTTTGTTTGAGACAAGTTCTCACTATGCTTACAATGTTGGCCTCAAATCTGTGATTCTCTGGCCGCAGCTGGCCTAGTTCTAGAATCACAGGTGTGTGGCTGTGTAACATCTAGATCAGCTCTAGAGCAGTTTTTTCACTATTATCACAGGTGTGTGCCTGTGTAACATCCAGACCAGCTCTAGAGCAGTCTTTTCACTATTATCACAGGTGTGTGCCCGTGTAACATCCAGACCAGCTCTAGAGCAGTCTTTTCACTATTTCAAATAGCTCAACAACTTTTTTATTATTTCAAATTTGATAGTTCTACTCAGGATTTCTACAACTTCTTGAATTAATTTTTATATTTAAAATATGCTTAAATAATTTTATTTATTATTACTAAGTGTGCATACATGACGTTTTTACAGTGCTAGGAATTGAACCCAGCTACAGAGTAAGATCCTAAGACCCCCCCACCATGGGATTGAGTAAAGATATTTTAGAT